ATGGGGAAGTTCCTGAAAGTTTCTCCCTACTCCAATTGCTCTAAATATTTAATTAACAATCTAAATACAGCTAAGCTAATGACTTTTCCTAATGAGTTATAAGTACTATCTTTGCCTTTACTTTTGGTTGTCATCCCTGCTGGGCAGAAATATAACTGCTGTCTGATTCACTCAGTAGAACACACTCTGCAACTCTGGGAACATAAAATGATGGGTTTGATCTCATTCATGGTCAGTACACTAGCAGACAAATGAAGTTTATAGTTATAGTCTGGCCTTAAATCTATTTTAAAGAATTTGTCTTGTCAGAGAAAAATGTGTCTACATCCTGTGTAGGAGGTAGGTTTCTCCACAATCTGAAATACATTTCAATAGCCTCAATAATGCATTCCTAGTGTGACCTGGCCAGTTTCCATTTTATAGACCATCTATAGCTGCTGGAAAACATAAAGGAAAAGAGAAATTGCTATTTCTGCAACAAGTCTGTTATTTTTGAATGGAAAAAATATCTTTCTTTAAAAAGTAAAATAGTTGTTCTCCATTTTCACATCTTTTACTTTTCTATGAAAAAAAGGAAAATTATTAACCTACCAATTTCCAGTAAAAGTCCCATTCACAACATAATCCAATGATGCCCCCAAACAAACAAACAAAAATTTTTTCCTATTGCTACTTTTTACATATTTTATTTAGACTGCACTGAAAATGGCCTCAATATTGCTTACATTGTCAGCTTTGGATCTAGGTGGAAAAAAAAAAAAAACAAAAAAAACCATCCTGAACCAGAAGACATAATTTCAAGTTAAACTGGCAAATGCCTTTTGCCCTAAAGATGTGCCCTAGCTCTCACCACCAGAGGTGCCAACTTCCAACTGTTCCAAACAAGTTAAGAAACTAAGGTACCGTGATCTTTTTCATTGTGTTTGTTTAATATGAGATGAGAAGAATTTAATATGAGCTGATCAGAAACCACAAAGTAAATTCTAATAATGGTAATGAAAACAGAATCTCTTCCATGTCACTTAGAAGTCTAGAAAAATGACAATGTTATGGCAAAATCTGGACTTATAACGAAAATATCAGCAATATGAAGTTTTTACAATGAGCCTGTGTTTTATATTAGAAACTAGAAAAATATAAAAAAAATAGCAGCACTTTCTTAGTTTGTCATGATTTATATAACACACGAGTAAAGACCACCACAAAATGGTATTTAAAACAAGCCAATATTACATGTTCACTTTATGGATAAAGAACTTTTTACGTAAATATATAGAAAACTAAGACCTGATGAGAATTACTTGGTCCATTTTACTTGAGCCTAATAGCATACCCAAGGCTGTCCTCAATAAGATTATCATAATCTTTTAGTCAGTTTTGTCTTTTTATAACATGCCATACAGCCTTCAACTCTAAAGAGAAAATAATTTTAACTGAGACAACCATGGAACTTTGTTCCATTGAAGTCTAGATGCTATAAGAACTTTTTTATTTTGTAGTATCTTTGGTGAAACTGTTTCTCCCAAGTAAAACCAAAGTATAGGATAAATCAATGAAAATCTAAAATTGAGACTAAACTTGAGATACATGACTAAGTCCAGCAGGATTTCCATGAGACATAATGATATTTGCTCAATTCAAAGGACTGGAAAGTTGCAAAAAGTGTTAGATTTAAAACAAAACGTATTATGGATTAAGAAGATGACTCAATCTAGGTTGTTTTTTTTTTTTTTTTTAACCAGGTTTTGCATTATACCTTAAATAAATCAGAGTTTAGAAAATACTTGTTGGTCATAATGAGAACTGATAATAAATTTCATCAGTATAAGTAAAATATAGTAAAACTGAAAATGATTTCAACTGTCCAGTCACTGGAGTAAATTTTAAAATCATCTGAATATGATAAGATATTTAAATGACTAAAATCTCCCAGATTAAAAAAAATTTCTTTTAATGTTTTATTTATTTCTGAGAGAGAGAGAGAGAGAGAGAGAGAGCGTGTGCAGGGGAGGGTCAGAGAGAGAGGGAGACACAGAATCTGAAACAGGTTCCAGGCTCTGAGCTAGCTGTCAGCATAGAGCCCGATGCTGGGCTCAAACCCACGAAGTGAAATCATGACCTGAGCTGAAGTCGGATGCTTAACCTACTGAGCCAACCAGGTGCCCCTCTCCCAAACAGATTTAAACTATTAAAAAAGATTTGCTTTTATTGTTCCTTTTCCTTATTTATTTCCTAGTTAGCTACAAATTATTATCATTCTTTATATAATTGCTGGCTGATAGGCCAAACAAGAGAGCCTTCTAAAATCTCCATTAAGTTATATGAACGGCTTATTTTTATGTTGAATACAGGTATCAAAGTTTAATGTTTTTTCTTTATCCCGCTTTTCAGATTTATTTTCTAGCATACTACTCAGTTGCTAAGCCCTGTGAAAGTCTTTCAGAATCTAAGTTGCTTAAATAGCCTCTTTTACAGTAACATTTCACTTAAGGCAATGGTTTGGGAACACCAAAACATTTGAATACCAAGAAAAGTTGTAACAGGAAAAAATGTAATCACTTCAAAAAGTGTGTATAAATAGCTCACCTCATCTGATTAAACTCTCTAATCCATTTAGTTAAACCAGTTACAAATCATTCTTTTTAAAGTAGCTGTTGTGCTTAAAAATACATTGCATTTTTAAATACATTAAATTTTTAAAAATAAAAATTCCAGTTAGAGAAAGCATTCTTTGCAAATGTATGTGTTTAATTTTGGTGGAATGGGAGAAAGGACTCTTATTCACCTCTATCCAAAGAAGGGAAACAGTGAATGACTGGCATTGTTAACCTCTAACAAATAATATGTTAAAAATGTAGTCCCTGACTACAAAGAACTTTTAGACTAGATGAAAAATAATGAGCACAGATATATTAAATATTTAAAGAAAAACATTTTTCTAAAAGATGTTTTTTCCTACTGAGATTTTCCCCATCTTCTTGAATATTAAAAACCACTTTTTCTTTTTCAGTGGAAAAAAAAAAGAAGAGACATTTGAATAGCAATATTTGAAACTGAACGTAAGGTCCAGATGAAATGCTATTTTCTAGTAATAAACTAAAGCAGGTGGCAGGTACTTGTTATAGAGTGCAGACTGGATATGACCAAATCATAGTTTAAATATCACTTTTGTTGAACAAAAATTTAATGAATATGTGGAAGTGGAAGAAATTCCGAAACCATAGTTATTTCCATTTTAAATGAGGATGATAGTTCTGCACCACCAGCTGTTTATAGTTCATTGAATGAGGTTCTAGTTGATAGGAGATAATTACCTCTTCCCTACAGGAGGCAAGTGTTCCTCATTCTGCAGACACCTCTGATGAATGGTCATGGGAGTATGAGACCAAGACAGCATGCCAAGATCAGTTTGGTTTTTAATGATCTCTTTAAACACTTGATTTTCTATTTTTTCCTATTTAAGTATAGGAAAATGTGTACCTTGAAATATAGATGATTCAGTCACTGGCTATTATTTTGCTTTTATAAGACACTTTAACCTTAGAAGGAAAGCAGAATGATTATACACAGAAAGTATACCATCAATAGTATTAGAAAAGGATGGGCACAGTGGCTTGGCATTGTGAAGTTACTTGCTAATTCATTGTTTTCCTCCAGACTATTCAGAGTTCCCTGTCAGCTAACAAAGTGCCCATTATCCCAGTCATTTCAGCTCTTCCACCCACTTGGAAAGGCCTATATATTCTACCTTCTATTCTACCTTTGAGTCTCTCTCAAATTTATCTCTTCACTTCCGATGCTAACTGCCCCATACCTCCATTTTCTCATCTGCAGGATGGTCCTCATCTCCTAAGTGGTCTCCTTGCTTCTAGTCTCTTCCAAAACTAATCCAGTTTAGCCACACACACACAAAAATACCTTCAGATTAACGGCACCACTCTCATCATGCCATTCTTATGTGTAAAAACCTTTCAAAAGCAAGTTCTGACTCCAAAATAGAAAAAAGCTTATGGTATTTTAAGTAAAAAATTTAAAAAAGTAAATCTACTCTGTTCTTATAAACATGTAAGACTGGGTGAACATATTAATAAGAGCTAGAAGAGGGGCTCTTGGGTGGCTCAGTCGGTTAAGCATATGACTTTGGCTCAGGTCATGATCTCGCAGTTTGTGAGTTCAAGCCCCACATCTGGCTCTCTGCTGACATCTCAGAGCCTGGAGCCTGCTTCAGATTCTGTCTGTCTCTCTCTCAAAAAATGAATAAACATTAAAAATATATAAAAAAAAAAGAGCTAGAAGAGAACACACAAAAAAATGAAGAGAATAAATTTAAAAGGGTCTGGGACTTGGGGCTGTTTGTGTATATAATGATGTTTATGCAACAAATGAAATCTTACAGTGATCACTTGCTGCTTATGCATCATAAGATGTTATTAACCTGCACCCAAGGATCTCTGCAAGCTGGCTCCTAAACCTCCCTTTTCAGTTTATTTTCCACCCCACCTGTCCACACAACCCCAAACCTCAGACAAACTAAAATATCCTCTTTCTCATTGGGTTCCTGTCCTGCTCTTTGCCAGCTATGGACCATTACTCATGTGCTCCAGCTAGTACACTCTTTTCCATTCCTATGTGTCTGAACCCTATCCAGTTATCCTTTTCAGCTCAGTTCAAATAGTATCTTTTCCACAAAGCTATTCCTGACAACTTTGTCCTCCAATGAGCATTTCATCTGTATGTCTCAAATAAAATGCAGTACTTCCTACTTTGCATTGTAGTGTGTGTGTGTGTGTGTGTTCAGAAGTAGCTCCCTTAAGGCAGGGACTTTGTTTTAGCCATCTTTACACTGCAGACATAACAGCTTCTTTCTGAATAAATATGAAAAATGAGTAAATACTTTAAAAAAGGGGCTATGAAGATTAAAAACCAACAGCAACTCTTAGTCTTATTATGATTTTCCTTCTTTTTTCATTCATGCTTATTTCTTTACCTAATTTCCTTACCTGAAGATATGTTATTCTCCGCTGGACCAGCTCTGTCAGATCTTTGGCCTCTTTTTCCCGCCAATCACCCGCTCCATCTGTTTGACTGAGGTAGTATAGATCCGTCATTATAGACCTATTAAAACGAACAACATTTGGAGGTCTAACTTATTTGTACTTCATCATAGGATTACACAAAGTCTTAAGAAGAGAGTCAAATTCTTCACAGAGATTGATGCTCACAGTGATGCTGGCTTTCATCCTTTATTTCCTATTAAGACTGTTAAATTCAGCAACTTAATTAATCCAAGATTCATATAGTAAATGTTCACTGTTGAGAAAAACATACTATTTTTCTCCAGGCCAGTCAGCTGCACTTACTTCCCAACACAGAGCACTACAAAGATCAAGGGGAAATGAAAACCCATAGCAAAGAAATAGGTAGATTAAGATAAGGGAGAGAAATAAGTTGGTGCCAGGATTTGAATACTGCATTTTTGTTCTCTCTGTCCTTTACTTCTTCCCCTTAAATTATCTCTTCAAACATAAACCCTCTGAGTGGTTGGAATAAAAGATGAGAGGAAAATTCTGACATACTCTTTTTTTTAAATGTTTATTTATATAAGAGAGAGAGTGAGAGGGAGAACCTGAGCCACCCAGGTGCCCCTGACATAACTCTTAAACAATGATCCAAACCAAGGTTCAACTAACATTTTTCTGTAAAGGGACAGATAATAAATATTTCAGGATTTGTGGTCCTCTGTTACTTTTGTAGCAGGAAGGCTGCCATAGACAGTATGCAAATGAATACATGTGCCTGTTTTCTAATAATATTTTTTTTTACAAAAGCAGGCTATGGGCCAGATTTGGACCTTTGGGAGGTACTTAGGTCAAGAGGGTGGAACCCACATGAAGGGGATTAGTGCTCTTATAAAAGACCCCACAGAACTCCCTAGGCCCTTCCACCATGTGAGGACACATGGGGAAGACACAGTTTATGAACAAGAAAACAGGTTCTCATCAGACATCAAATGTTCCAGCACCTTGATTTTAGACTTCCCAGGTTCCAGAACTGTGAGATATAAGTTTTTACTTATAAATTAAAGCCTTTTGTATTTTTGTTATTGCAGCCTGAACAGACTAAGACACTGCGATTTATGCCATAATGCCTCAGAGATTTTACCTTGTATATGAAGAATACCTACTCTACAAATGAGAAACTACTCACTGGGCATGGGTGACAGTAATACATGGTACTGAAGAAATATGATTCAACAGCCAGTCCTTATAGCACTCTGAAGAGGGGGACTGATCAGGAAGAACTCATTTAACAGATAATGAAACCAGCCTTTAACAACTGTGATTTACCCAGGAGTACATGGCATAGCCTCAGTTCCCTGTTATTCTTGGTTCTTAACTAGATGCTAAACCACTTAATAACAAAGTACTGGCACCCCACAGGAAAAACGAAAGTCTTATTTACTACCTTAGAAAAGCATCAGAAGCACACAAAATTAACAGAGAATACTTAATAATACCTAGTGTCTTTGAATAAAGCAACATTATTAATAATATACAAATAAAGATTAAAAATCATGACCATAGTTTAGAATATTGATCCAACTAATAGTGGATCAGCTTTGCACAATGCTTTGGAACAAAAGGGTCATCTGTGAAGCATTTTAGGCATTTGCTTAATTTATCAACATCAGCAATGCAGAGGGTATTACACAGCTTGACCGTTTCCATGTTTGCCCTTTTTAAACAGGGCTACAGTTAAATATATAATGTTTTGTTTTTATATTTACTATTCTCACCTAAGATTCTAAACATTTTCATAAAACCTGATTAAAAAGTAGTTGTAATTGGAAAAACCAAACCTACAATTTACTGCCTCCTTAACAAATTAACTTACAGTCTTACACAATGGAGAAAAGGTCAACTTTTAAGTTTTTTCATTTTATAAAACTGAGGCCCCCCTGGATTATTATGTAGCCTACAGTATTCTTTTATATAGTTTTACTTTTACTAGGGGAAAAGTCATTACCCATATGAAACTGTGTGAGTTGATTGTGGAAACATATGAGAAGTCTTAGACTATAATGGTGTTACAGGGCTCAGCTGGAAGTTTATTTAAATTATTTTCTCAGTTTTATAACCTCTTCCTCATCATTCTCATCATGCTTATTATATTTTATGCTTCATAGGTTTCATCATATCCAAATGTGGTCCTTTGCTTTTTCCTGCCTATCAACTATGAGTGATCACAAAACCTGCTGTAAGCCTCAACTTTAAATAGGAGCACTCTTTGTAGAGATGTAGTAAAGTGGGATAAATAACCAGTCTATCAGCAAATGTGTGTTGCAGAGAAAAAGGAAATTCAATATGCTCTGCATGGCTTCAACATTAAACCTACATATAGCAACAGACAAATAACACTGTATTTCATTGACAATCACTATACAGCCTCAAGAAGGTAAAAACTACAGTGGGTCTAATTTGAAGGAAGAATTCTCTGAAATATAAATATTGGCATGGTTATGCTTTGACATCATAGCAATCAAGCCATTCCTTAATCAGAGGGAATAAAAGCTAATCTCTGTGTCTTTTAATAAATTAGAAAACCTAAAAATGCTTTTACCAAGTTACATCAGTATTAAGTCTTGGCAATTCATTCACATTCATCCCAATATCTGTCAAGAAAATGGGATAATCAAGCTAACATATAACTAGAGGGCAGTATACGAAAAAAAAAGTGCACTAATTTTCCATAACAGTCAGAGTCTCAACATCTCAACTCAACATAAGTTACTCTATTCCAAGAGTCAACTAAAATTAAACTTGATTTTAAAATCTTTTTTTCTTGGGGCACCTTGGTTAAGTGTCCAACTTCAACTCAGGTTGTGATCTTGCACTCTGTGAGTTTGAGCCCCGTGTTGGGCTCTGTGCTAACAGCTCAGAGCCTGGAGCCCACTTTGAATTCAGTGTCTTCCTCTCTCTCTACCCCTTTCCCCCATTTGCACTCTGTTTCTCTCTCTCTCAAAATTAAACATCAAATAAAGCTTTAAAATCTGTTTTTCTTGGCCTTCCCATTAGAGATCATGTAAGGAAGACAACCCCAGGAAACAATCTTAAATTTATTTTTAAATTTTTATTGAAATCTAAGCTAGTTAATATATACTGTAATAATGATTTCAGAAGTAGAATTTAGTGATTCATCACTTACATATGATACCCAGTGCTCATCCCAGTAAGTGCCCTTCTTAATGCCCATCACCCATTTAGCCCATCCCCCCACCCACAACCCTCCAGCAATCTTCAGTTTGTTCTCTGTATTTAAGAGTTTCTTATAATTTGCCCACCTTTCTTTATTTTTTTACTTCCCCTATGTTCATCTATTTGTTTCTTAAATTCACGAGTGAGATTTATCTTTTTCTGACTGACTTATTTCGCTTAGCATAATACACTCTAGTTCCATCCACATTGTTGCAAATGGCAATTTCATTCTTTCTGATCGCTAAGTAATATTCCATTTTGTGTGTGTGTGTGTGTGTGTGTGTGTGTGTGTGTGTACTACATCTTCTTTATCCGTTCATCAGTCAATGGACATTTGGGCTCTTTCCATACTTTGGCTATTGTTGACTGTGCTGCTATAAACACTGAGGTACATGTGCCCCTTGAAAACAGCACTCTTGTATCCTCTGGATAAATATCTAGTTGTGCAATTGCTGGGTCGTAGGGTAGTTCTATTTTTAATTTTTTGAGGAAACTCCACACTGTTTTCCAACATGCCTGCACTAGTTTGCATTCCCACCAGCAGTGCAAGTGTTACCCTTTCTCTGCATCCTCACCAACATCTGTTGTTTCTGGAGTTGTTAATTTTAGCCATTCTGACAGGTGTGAGGTGGTATCTCATTGTGGTTTTGGTTTGTATCTCCTTGATGATGAGTGGAAACAATCTTAAATTCATAATAGTTCTTTTCTGATTCAATAATATTTAGAAATTACCATCTTGCAAAATTTGTCATCTTTTAGCCAAAGATATGAGAATAAATAAATAGAAAGTTATAGATTGTTACTGGGAAATATGGGGACTAAAAACCATTCTATAGAAATGATTGGTTCTCAGTGGCTCGACTCTGAAATCAAATCTTCTAGAAGTGTCCTAAAAGCTGGTTGTCTTGGTTTTGACTATGAACAGATGTCAAGAAATCTACGAAATGGGACGGTGAATCTTAAGGCCTGGTATGAGGGCAGGTCAAAGCTTGGAAATACAAAACCAGGCAAAATACCAGCAGAATAGTGCTAGTCACTTGTGGGTAGAGTACAGACGCCTGAGAATAACCAGTAGACTAGGACTGATTCTGAGAGCAAGAGCAAGCCAGCTAGACAGGTGTCAAAACCTCTATTTTAAAAGTGGGGCTACATTTATGTTCTTTGTATTTTCAGTTGATTTTCCTATTTCTCTATTTTAATACCCACAGAACTATTTTTAAATGTTTGAGTCTGTCTCAATTATGCTAATAAAGAACTACAAGTATTTTGTTTATACCTGATTCAAAATGTTAAAGATAGAAATTCCCCCTCAGGGTCAGCACAGAGCAGATGTAATTCAAGAAAATCCCAAGGTGAAGGAACCACCATTTAGGAAAGTAAATGTAACTAAGGGAGGCTATATTACAGAGTCTAATCCACTGGTAAATCTGGATCAAGGGTAAGAAAACTTACTTGGGTTTCGTCCAAGGCTGCTTTTACTGTGATTTGCTCCTGGGGCAGAAATAAGTGGTACAAAGGATAAAAACGTCATCTGGAGACAGATAGGGAGACAATATTCCTTTTGCCTCCATTGTTTCAAGAAGGAATTCTAAGATGCCACCTCTTTTTGACAGACCACATGGGTTGGGAGGAGTCCACAAGAGCAACAACAAAGATAGTTTATCATATGAGGCCATAATTATGCTACTTGGTGAGTGATGTCCACCAGGCTTATGTTTAGGTTCCAAACCTTGAAATTCTTGCTGCAGAGCATTCCCCTGATCTGTGCTTGCCCTGCAGCATCTAAGAGTTCTCTATTTATACCCTCTCATGGGGCTTTCCTTATGCAGGTCTCGCTAGAGCATACCAGAATCTACAATGTGTCAATCACTATGGAAGTTGTTTTATATATTTTCTCACATTCAATCAACATAATGGTATGATACAGGAATTATATCCTCATGTGTAGAAGACAAAAATAAAGCTCAGAGAAGCTAAGTATTTAGCAATTAAGACAAAGTATTTGAGGAGGGCACTTGCTGGGATGAGCATATACACTGTATGTTAGCCAACTTGACAATAAATTATATTTTTAAGAAAGTATTTTGGATAAAAATAGCTCAGCCACTTACTTGTGTAAACTATCTAATTTCTCTAGGCCTAAGTATAACTTTATTTATCAAAAAGGAAATAATAATGCTTGCCTCAAAGTATTACTACACTGATAAAATAACGGAGAGCCTTTATCATAATAACTGCCACAAAGGGAATCCTTAGTGACTATTTTTAATGTCAAATCATTCTTGAGTTTGGAAATCACATCCAGGGAGATGTAAGGTTAGGGGTGGGGGCAAGCAAAACAGAATCAAAGTTATTAGATGAGACATCCTTTTACACCTTTAGATTCTCCTTCCAATGCAAACTTTATTTTAGGGGAGGAGGTCTCCTTACAGAAGATGGAGAATCATAACTGGCTGATAAAGACTAAGTGATGAGATTAAGGACAACTTCATATGACAAGCCTCTGTTCTCTATGGATATTCGGAGGAATGTTCTAGCACCACTTAAAAATAAACCTGGATTCCTAAGGAGAAAGACAATCCTACAAAAACATTTTGTCCAAAGGAATTAACAACTGAGGAAAGAGTATCTACATTCCAGTGTAAGTCTCAATCAAATCACATCTCAAAGAACTTAAGGTCTTCATTCCTTCTGCTGTGTATATGTGTGTGTATGAAATAAAAAAACAAGGAATAGCTTAACTTAATTTTTCAAGAGTGGAAATATCAATTCTTTGACCTTTTAAAGACAGTCTAGTAGAGTCTACCTTATAAAGAGAGTGAAAACACAAACTACTGTACCACAATAGCTATGATCAGCAACTCTGATTAAATAAATCTGTAAGCTATTAATCTACCAGTCTTCCCTGTAACCAGATATTGCACCCCTTATCTGAGTCAAAGACCTTTCCCTTGCTGCATAAACCCCTATACACAATATCAAAAAGCCAATTAGCATAATTAGATATAAGTATCATTTATCGTTTGGGAAACATCTCCCCTCAGTCTTACCAAAGCTGCTTTATATATTACTGATAATGAGACGATACAGACCAGGCAGGAACAATAAGATTGTTGTTTTACTAGGTTATTTTTCAGTAATTTCAGTCAAGTTAATTGAGAAATAGTTCATCAGCCCTGTTAGCCCTCCTGTTCTTCAGTTTGAGGTTTAATAATTGCTGTAATCTAAGGTCAAAAAGAAGTAGTTCCAGTAACTATCTTATAAACATGGTGTCTGGCAACATAAGAAATGACAAAAGACCCAAAGCAACAGTGGTTAAGAAAAATATGTCTTGGGCAACCTAAGATGGTAATAAGCAGAATTTTCAATGATATCCCCTGAGGTTGGGAGACAAATATATATAGCCATGAATCCAAGCACTGAACCTATACTAAGACACAAATAATAAAATCACAATGACAAAAATAATCAATCTAAACTGCTAATCTCCCTCATTATTTCAAAGAGAGGCCACAGTCAATTTATGATCAATGGTGTTAAAAAACAGCAGGTAAATTTGACCATATTACTACTAAGTATGGTAATATATAATCACTAGAATGAAACTGTCACTTGAAAATCTAGTCTGGGAGTGTCTTATAAATTAAATAGACACTCAACATATGACACACAAATCCCACTCTGGATATTAATCCAAAAGGAATTAAAATATGCTTCTGCAAAAACATGTATGTTAAAGTTTATGTGGCTTTATTCATAATCACCAAAACATGTAAACAACCCAAGTGTCCTTCAGTTGGTGAATGGATAAACTATCTGTGGTACATGTATACAATGGAATATTACTTAGCAGTAAAAAGAATGAACTACCAATATGCAAAACAACATGGGTGAATCTCAGATGCATTATGCCACGTGAAAGAAACCACACTCAAAAAGCTACATATTATGTGACTGTATTTACATAGTATTCTGGAAAAGGTAAAAAATATCTGGATAGGAAACAGACCTAATGACTGCCAAGGACTGATGAGGGTGAGGAGGGGCTGACTACAAAGGAGCATGAGGAAACTTCTCAGGGCTGCAGCAATGTTCTGTATCTTGATTGTGGGGTGGTGGTAACAAAACTGCAAGCATTTGTCAATACTCATAGAACTACAGACTAAAATATATACATTTTATTGTATATACATCATGTCACAATAAAGCTGATTTAGAAATGAAATATAAAGAGGATCAGTGTTTGTATCAGAACAAAGTTCTAAGAAAGAAAAAACCCTTTTGAAGAAACAGAAGTCTATAAATATCTTTCCTATTATTGATGTCTTTCTGAACCAAAAGTTGACAAGAGTGATTTCAGATGGAAAGTTGGATTAAAACACTGATAGGCTCAACCTCTGATTTCTCAGAGAACATAGGCTTTTAGTCCAGAGACAACCTATATACTATATTTGGGTAAGTGTAAAAATGAAATGCGGATTTTTGTGTAATGTAAAAATCACCAGAGGGAAACACAAAACTCTGTTTTAATTTTAATTCTTACACTTAAAAGTCTTGAAAATTATCAGTAAGATGGCATATTCTACACATATACAGAATGTATATGTATCTCTACACTTGTATATTCATAACTTTTGGGTTATTTCTCCAATGTCAGGCTATGCTTTTTCATTATTGTATCACTGCATTCTACTACAGCTGTCTGAAGTTACATTCCTACCCTGTGAGGCTGCATCCCAAGTTCCTTATATTTTTTGCTTAAAGACAGTAAAAGAAATCGCCTGGGGTAACTTGGGAACCTTTCCATGTTTATTTTCAGTGAAATATTTAACATGTACTAAAAGGTCGTGTCAGAATTATAATGTACTTAAAACAAAATTCAACTTACAAAAAAATTTAACATTGATTTATATCACCTTTAGGGCCCAACTTTTAAATACTACAGAATCTGCCCAAAATCTGCCCAACTCAAATCCTCTTCAGATCTGCCTTTTCCTATAAAATTGCAATAAGCAAAGCATATAAGCACACAGCTCCAGTGAATAGAATTGTGCCTAGAATTAGTCAGTATTTGGTCTAATGGTCTAAGTATGGCCAAAGGAACTGCTGAATGCATGGGCCTAATAATTCAATGCCCCTCTGCTTACTTTTGTAGATTAATGCTAAAATGATCCAATAAATTGGTGGATTTTAGTTGTAATTTCACTTAAAACAGCAGAGCAATATTTCAAGATATATTATTGCTATAATATTGGTGATGATGTAAATATATATGAATCTCTTGGTTGTGGGGTAATTCTTTTCCTCTTCACAGTGGTAGGTTGTGTTAATACAACAATTTTTCCTCTACTGTTCACTAATGAGACAGTAACTGCCATCAGAATCCTACGGGGAATATAGACTTGTATATATGATAAGCCTAAGGACAGGTTTCATTGTATTTATAATGATTCTCAGATACACTGTATTCTGCATGAATACACCAGTACGAAAAGGTTTTCTTTTCTATGGAAGATAAACTACATATTTTCAGAAATGTGCAAATAGGAGAAATAAGTTTAACTAGGGAGATTTCAGATTCTTATGTTTAGCAACTAAATAGAAAAATAATTAAAAGAATGCTCCCTTTTATCAAAAACCTGTTAACTTTTAATTAGAAATTCTAATAAGGTACTATTTTAAAATTTTTAGTGTTTGAATTAGAAACATAATTGCCAGCTTCAGTATGAGTTCCAATGTACTATAATGTAAAACTACATACACCACGTCAATTATTGATTGTATATGAAGGAAATTTAAAAGAAGATATTTTAATGTATTACTGGCTCAAATCACTACCTTCAGAGTTTACTTAGGGTTATAAAGATATCTAGAAATACATTTTAAATAATATTTTCCAGTGATATATTTTAGTTGGTCATTTGGGAATTATTGGCCTTTAAACCTCAGGTACTCTTCTGCTTCTAAGTATGGTAGGGAAATTAACAAAAGTTCCAGTTTATATTCTTAGATTATAATCTTTACCAAAGCCCAATGAAATGTAAAACACGAATGGCACATGGAGTGCCTAGCTGGCTCAGTCGGTTAAGCATCTAACTCTTGATTTTGGCTCAGGTTATGATCTCGTGGTTCATGGGCTAGAGCCCCATGTCAGGATCTGTGCTCTCCGTGCTGAGCCTGCTTAGGATTCCCTCTCTCCCTCTCTCTTGCTGCCCCTCCCCCACTCACACAGCCTCTGTTTTTCTCAAAATAAATAAAAACTTAAAAAAAAAAAAAAAAAAAGAATAGCACCTTTCACGATGTCCCAAATCTGACAGAAATTCATCTGCATGACTTTGGAGTTCATTTCCTTCTAAATTCTTTAATTTCTTCAATTCACTTTGTAGAAAAAACCATAGCTCTTTAGCTCCATTTTCAATCCTCCTCCTTAGGATTTCATGATCCTTCCCCAGACCTGCAGTGAAAGAATAAACAGTATCAGTATTCCCAACATTTTGATGTAGGAAAATTTTAATTATTTGTGGTAATATCAAACACTAAAGCAGAAAAACACTATATAATCACCTACCATTTCTAGTTTGTTTCTTATAATTTTCAATCTGTTCTTTGGCCTTCAAAAGCTGCTCTTCTAAAGCACGAACCCTTCCTGAGGCTGGCCCCTGATCAATGGGGCCTTCTGGTATCCTGTAGTCCAGAAAAGAAAATGCAAACATTTAGCTTATAAATTATACAACAAAACTAAAGCTTACTTGTTACAACATATTTATTGGTAACTCTGGAAGTCACAAACCATTTATTAGAAGCACGAAATAAAATTTTCTCTCCCAACAATGGATTGATACTGAACAGAAACAGAAAAAATATAATTTAGCTTAGAGATCTATGATCTTCTAGGAATAAGGGATCATTTAGAATTGTTTCCTAAAAATTCTCATCATATTACTTAGAAAAATACCATCATCAGTGGCAAAGTGGTTAATTCTTCAACAGTGTCAAGAGCAACAAAGGTGAAGGAGAGGGTGACAAAAAGCTTAAGGGAAATAAGAAAGCATGGCTCTGAACATATACCTGTGTTCAAACAGATATAAATTATTTCTGAATTAATCACAGTATCAGGCTATGTAAACAAATCTGTGTTCCAGTTCATGAACTCATGACCTTAGATTACTAAGTATTGGTTTTATAGAAGGGAAATATAATAGCAGAAGTTGAAGTATATCAGAAAAAAAAATAATGCCTTGTTTGTTTCTGTCAGAAATGAAAACTATCAGTCAATAATATAAAATGTTGAAACACAGCAGAAGAACTCCAGGATCTCTTATGTTATCAACATATCTGTACAACTTTTTTCCAAACTGTACTTGTTTCTAACATGTTTTGTTTTTATATGGCTTTGGCAGTATTCTGTACTCCATTCGTGCCATAAAATATATCTACATCCTAATTCTGGAGCTTACAAATGCTACCTTACATGGCATAAAAACCTTGAAATATGTGATTAAGCTAAGGATCTTGAGATGGGGAGATAGTCTTCGATTATCCAAATGGGTCCTAATTGTAACTACAAGTGTTCTTATAAGAGAGAGGCAGAGGGAGATTTCACTACAAAAGAGGAGAAGAGTGTGTGGCTACTAGCTTTAAGATGGAGGAAGGGGTCATGAGCAAAAATACAAGGACTGAAGCTTTAGAAGCTGAGAAAAAGCAAGGAAACAGATCCTCCCCTACAGTTTCCAAGAGGAATGTGGTCCTGCTGACACTGTGGCCCAGTGAAACTCATTTCAGATATCTAACCTCCTAAACTGTCAAGAGAATACATTTCTATTGTTTTAAGCCACAAAGTGGTATCTGTTACAGAGGCAATAGGAAACTAACACACATACACATATACACACATACATTTGCATAATTATTGTCAAGATTAAATAACAGCAGATTTTTTTTCCCCAAAATCTATAAAAGAACTCAGTGTTTGGCAATAAATTATCAATACAATAAACTATCTGGACTGAGTCATGTTGGAGACAAGCTATAACCTCAAAATATCTGGGTTAACTATTCTTGCCATCACAATCATTTTAAGGGAACTTAATTTTTAAAATATTTATTTATTTTTGAGACAGAGACAGAGCACGAGCAGGGAAGGGGCATAGAGAGAGGGAGACACAGAATCCAAAGCAGGCTCTGGGTTCTGAGTTATCAGCACAGAGCATAATGTGGGCTCAAACTCACGAACCGTGAGATCATGACCTAGGCCGAAGTCAAACGCTTAACTCACTGAGCCACCCAGGTGTCCTGGGAACTTAATTTTAAAAAATATACTTGGCAGAACTTGAATTCAGATGTCAGCTTAGTCCTCTGATGCAAAGACACTAATGCATATTTTTTATACCTTTTCTTACATTTTTTTAATATAATAGACTATTATAACTATTAAATAACTAAATAACTATTACTTACCTATATCATTTTAGTAAACATACTTAGTAAAGAAGCTCTTGGTACAGCTCTACCAGCGTAAATAAGGTTTTCTATAGCTGTATGCATTAACATTGAACAGGAGCATGAAAAATAACCATTCTCTAATCATGAGTATCCCAAGCTACAAAATTTAAATTATAAAGCCTACATTTGTGTACATACGAAGTGAATAATGATAAAATAAGTAGAGCTGCTAGGTGCACAATTACCCAGTTTATAAACTCAAATGTGTATACATTCATAAATGAGGCATTTCCTGGGATCTAGTTTATAAAATATGGTTCCTAATCTCTTTCTGAATTAGATGGCTGATTTCGAGGAAATAATCTGAAAACAGAATTAAACTACTTATTATCTCTTGAAATTAATTTTGACAACAATATGTCATAAGACAAGAATGTCCTTTCCCTTAATGACACAAAATTTCAGACAATACAAAAATATGTCTAGGTTTTATCTCATTTCTTTATATAAAAAGATCAAGGTAAAACAGGTAAGAATAAAACAGCACAAAATGATTTCAGCAGATTTCCATTAAGTATTAAATCTAATTTTAATAAAGCATACATAATATGGGATATTACATTATTATATATAATAAATTCAATATATAATATAATTATACAAAATATGTAAGTGATATTATTATCTATAATAATCTAATCCAACTGTGGATAAACTGTAGATAAAGAAAAGTAATGGAGAAGCCAGTGTAAAAACAGTACAGAATAAGGACTATTCTTTCTAAAACCTGTCGAGAAAAGAGTCAATCTGAAAGGACATTATTTGAATATTTGGGAATGAATGGTGGTTTTTTAAAATTGTTATCATACTCACTTTGCAAAAGGTATATAGGACATTTTCTGGCCAAGATGAAGCAACAAAGATTAAATTCACCATAATGCCCAAAACAAATGAAAACCCAGACAAAACATATGAAACAATAGTTTCATAAACTGGTTTAATTCCTGACTGGAATCAGGAGACAGATATCAGAAAGACAGCAAAATAGGTGGTTCCCGACTTAGGTCCCCTTCAGGGAAAGTGCAACTAGCAACTATCTATCAATACTTGTCAAGATTCTAGAACACGGGTGTGAGGCTGATGCAGCCCCCTTGGACAACAAAAACCAAGAAAAATACTAGAAGGGTAAGAGAAGCAATTTCACTCTGACTGCATTGCTCCTCCCCCAGGTCAGTGCAGTGTTACACAAGGGGTTCCCCCTGGACCTACAGCTTCTCCAATGCGAAAAGGAAGAGTGCAAAGTGGAAATCAAGCTTCCCCAGCATTCTTGCTGCTTCCTGGGAGTTCCACTGAATCACTGCCTCATGGAGACTACTGGGGGAATCTGCTACAGGCAGAGAAGGGAAGAGGGATTCACAGCAACAAATGTGCAGATCTTGGCTGACTGCATTCCTGTTCGTGGTAAAGCCTGAGAGGAGATCCCACCGGAGCAGAGAAACAAGTTGGTGGCCACACCTAACTGCTGGGCGTTGCCTCCAGCCACATCCAACAGAGAAGCCTAACCAAAGACATGGACAGCGTACAATACATCTTCTGGCCTGCCTAAACAGGAAAGCAAGTCAGTAGCCCCACCAAACTGCTCAGTATAACCTTCATAGCCTTCAGCCATTCCTGATCAGGAATCCTGACCAGGGATTGAAGCAGCCACAGAACCCATTCTACAGCTCCAATCGGGTAGAGAGCCAAGCCCAGCAGCAGCACCAGCCTACTGTAGAACATAGCCTCCAGCCCTGCCTCATGAGGTTGCCCAACCAAAGACCCTGGCCAGCTCTGGAGCCCAACCTGACAGCCCCATCCAGCAGCACAGATAGCCTACAGCCTCATCCAATTGCTGAGCATAGCTTGCAGACTCACCTTGTCAGAATGCCCAGCTAGCCACCTTACCTAATCACAAAGCATAGCTCCACCTGACCAGTGGATTCAGTGCAACCCTGCCTGACTATGGAGCACAGCTTCCAGCTCCATCCCGCTGTTGGGTAGCTGGTAGCCCTACCCTAACAGGAAGCCCAGCAAAAAACACTGTCAAATATCAGAGCACAGCCAGTAGCCTGCTCAATCACAGGAGCCCACCTTGTAGCCCCATCCAACTTTGGTGTATAGCCTACAGCCCCATCTGATCAAGGAACACAGCCTGAGTTCCCACCTGATTGCAAAGCTGTGTATGGCCTTAACACAGAGACCACTTAATGTAGATTCCAGCCAGTGGCACCATCAAGCCAGAGGACACAGCTTGGGGACCTCAACTGACCAGAGGTAATCACAGAGTTCAGCATGTGGTCTTACTCATTCAGAGTGCAGGCAGCAGCACCATCCTACCAGGAAACATAGCCTGCAATCTGCCCAACCATATGTGATTGCAAAGCCCAGGAGGTAGTTCTATGTGAACACAGATACAAACCAGGAGTTATCCTTGAATGCAGAGCCCAGCCATCAGACCCACTTGACTTACAGAACAATGGCAGGTCCCCTGACCAACTTCAAAGCACAGACATTGGCCACATCCAACTAGGGACCCTGAGAGCAAGCACTACTTGCCCAAAGCTGCTGTCCAGAACCTCCAGCTGAGCCAAATGGTGAAGGACTTTCTCTGTTGAAGCAAACCTATAAAGGCTCATTCCTCAAATGCACAAATACCAAAATAAGAATATGAGGATCAGGACAAATCAGGTAAATATGACACCACCAAAGGAAACTAATAAAGTTCCAATAACTGGGGTGCCTGGGTGGTCAGTCGGTTGAGCGTCCAACTTCAGCTTAGGTCATGATCTCATGGTTTATGGGTTTGAGTCCCATGTCGGACTGTGTACTGACAGCTAGCTCAGAGCCTGGAGCCTGTCTTCGGATTCTGTGTCTCCTTCTCTCTCTGACTCTCCCCTGCTCGCACTTTCTCTCTCTGTCTCTCAAAAAAAAAAAAAAAAAAAATTCCAATAACTAACCTTAAAGAAATAAAGATCTATTAACAGTAAAAAAGAATTCAGAATAATCCTCTTAAAGGAATTTGGTAACTACAAGATAACACAGAAAACTAAACAAAATTAGGCAAACAATACATAAATAAAATGGGAGGTTCAACGAAGAAACGGAAACCATAAAAAATTAAAAGAGCAGTCCTAGAGGTGAAAAATGCAATAGTTTAACAGAAGAATTCAACAGAGAGCTTCAACAATAGACTTGACCAACCA